AAAGCACAATTACTCAACAGCTTTGCATGTCTCTGGTGCATACTGTCTTCCCTCATTTCCTAGTGGGTCTCAGTTCTCTGTTGCTGAAAGCCATTCAGATGATGAGGGACCTGAGGAGGATATACTGGACCCTGCACAAATGAAAAATGTATACATGAGAAATCTGTCCATGTTTTACATGAAGTTGCAGGCAAAGCACCTGATCCCTTCCTCCACAGTACAGTTAATTGTAGAAGAGATCAATAAGCTCAGTGCATTGTGTCAGCAGTACACAAAGAATCAACTCAGAGCATCTCTTCAAGCAAAAACTAAACTCTCTGAGACAGAAATTGAAGATGTTTTGAAAACTCTAGATGACATGGATATTCATGGGTCATGCAGCTCTGCTATTTCCACAGAGTACAAGAGAAAACAGTACTTTGAGGAAAATTTTCCCTATGTGCATCCAAAATGCATTTTTTTGGGTACTGATGAAAACAGAAAGGAGCGGCATGCCCAGTATATTCCCATAAAAGACACATTAACAGCTCTACTGAAAGATCCTGCTGTGTGGGAAGAATGTTGTACATCTGGGAATGAGAGTACACCTCTTATTTTAAATGATGTGTGTGATGGATCGGTATTCAAATCCATTCGATTATTTTCTGAGCCAGGCATCACTTTAAAAGTGATCCTTTATCAGGATGCATTCGAGTTGGTTAATCCCCTTGGATCTGCAAAAAAAAAACAAGATGCTTGGGGTGTACTTTACTCTAGCAAACTTTGATCCTTTTCATCGATCCACCATTGACAACATGCAGCTTTTGCTGTTGTGCCGAGAAGCTGATTTCAAAAAATTTGGCCACGAAAAGGTGTTCTCGCCACTGATATCTGATCTTAGGGAACTGGAAACAAATGGATTGACCATACATGGAAACAATGTGAAGGCAACAGTCTTTTGCATCACAGGCGATAATTTGGGTTCTCATAATATCGGTGGTTTCACAGAAAACTTTGGTACATCTCAATATTTCTGCAGATACTGTCATGTGACAAGAAGTGACCTGGACAATTTGGAGCACCATGCTCCGATCCGCAGAGTTCAAGACTACATTGACACTGTTGAAGAGCTGCAGAATGATGATGCACATGAAGTCAGAGGTTTGAAGTTTGACTCAGTCTTTAATTCTCTGGCTTTTTTCCATGTCTGCCAGCCAGGCCTGCCACCCTGCATTGGCCATGATTTGTTTGAGGGTGTAGTGGCATACGACCTTGCCATTTACATCAAATACTTTGTCAAGGTGAAGAAATTCTTCACATATTCAGAACTTAATCGTAGGATCAGGCAGTTTACCTACCAAGGATCTGACACTAATTCTACACCCTCTGAAGTTTCTGAAAAGGGTGCAAAATTAGGTGGCCAGGCAACAGAAAACTGGTGTTTGCTAAGGCTTCTATCAGTTATAATTGGTGAGAAGATCGCAGATACAGAGGATCCAGTTTGGCAACTTGTTGTCCAGCTGAAAGAGGTAGTGGAGTTGATTTGTGCCTCCACCATATCAGAACCTCAGATTGCATTGCTCAATGTTCAGATCTGTGACTATCTAGAGGCAAGAAAAGAAATGTTTCCTGCACACAAACTGAAACCAAAGCATAATTTCCTCACTCACTACCCTGCATTGATCCTGAAATTTGGCCCACTAATGCGGTTGTGGACAATGCGCTTTGAAAGCAAACATTCCTACTTTAAAAGATGTGCGCGAAGAACACAAAATTTCAAAAACATATGTCAGACACTTGCCAGGAACCACCAGCTTCTGCAAGCATACCTTCATTCAGGCTCATTTTTTGCACCCTTATTGGAGGTCAAGAACTCCACTCCTTTCCATTTAGAACTGTACAGCAATGCAGTGCGCACTGCAGTAGGAACAACCTTGGACAAGGAGCCCAATATTGTGGCATCTACAGAGTTGAAGTGGAAAGGGACTCTGTATAAAAAGGGGTTCTTTCTGTGTCTAAGCCAAGGTGAGGCAATTGAATTCAGTCAAATTGAGCTCATTCTGGTGAAGGAAGAGAAGCATGTGTACTTTATTGTTACTCCTCATGATGTGTCCTACTTGCCGGAGTTTGGACTATATGAAGTGAAGGAGGCGAGGCAGAGCATGCAGTACTGGAAAGCAGAGCTCAAACTGGATTATTATCCATTGCCTGCATATAAGCTTTTTGGGACAAATGTCATTTCACTGAAACATAGCATTGTTGACACAGAGTAAAGATAATGAAAAAGAATGTAAAGGTGAATATACACCAAGGGTGTCCAGTCCTGTTCCAGGAGATCTGCCTACCTGCAGGGTTCAGATCCAACCCTGAGAGGTTTTTGTCTGTCCTTGGACTTTCATGGTCCAGAAAGACGTAAATAAATTAATCGAGGAGACTACAGTAGTTTAACCAAATTTATGAAGACATGCCAGTGTGCAAACTAAAGCAGTTGGATTTGTTTTTAGATGCTTTAGTGTTTGGGTTGGAGCTGAACCTGCAGATACCATTGGTGGCTACATTTCTATGATCAACTTAGGGTTATGCTGCTTTTGGGAAATGCAATTTGGACTAGTTGTTTGTCTTGTCTCTCTTTAGTGTCATGGATGGAGGGAGTGCTCTCGCCTCTTTAATTAAATCTGCTCTTCCAAAAATGAGCCAACTTGAGCCTTTGCTGGAGGCACTGAAGGAATTAGGAGTCCAGAACTGTGAGGACATGAACTATATCCAGGAGAGTGACCTTCTTCATATCCTGAAGCCAGTGGAAGCAAGGAAACTCCTGTCATGCTTCAATTCACCAAGTATGTGTTTGAGGTTGTATATAACATAATTTTCATATTAAAGAATTTGTTCAGCTCAAAATTTAAAGGGGTAGTTCACCCTAAAGTGAAAATCATAATTTGTCATCATCGTATGTCATCATTTACTAACCCTAAAATTGTTCCAAACCTGTATAAATTTATTTTTTCTGCTGAACATGAAGGAAGATATATGAAAGAATTAAACAGAAAAACTACTATTGAAGCCGATAGTTGTTTGGTTACAAACATTTTCCCAAATATCTTCATTTATATAGGTTTGAAACAACACGAGGGTGAGTAAATGATACCATCATTTTCATTTTTGGCTGAACTATCCTTTTAAATTCTTTCTTTAATTACTCACCCTTTTTAATTTCAAACCCTTAAGACTTTCATTTATTTTCAGAACACAAATGGAGATATTGTTAAAGAAGTCTTGGAGCTTTCTGTCCCTCCATTGACAGTCTACGCAACTAACAATAACAAGTTCCAGAAAGGTAGTCAAGACATTAAAGTAATCCTGAGGTTCCAGTGGTTTAAACAATCCATTGAAGTCACATAGATTACTTTAATTATGTATGTACTGCCTTTCTGGACTTTGAAAGTGCTGTCAATTTAGGAACAGAAAATTAAGATTTCATTAAAAAGATCTTCCATTGTGGATGGGTGAGTATTTAAAGACAGAATTTTCATTTTTTATTACCCAATCTATTAAGAAAATAAGCATATTAAGAAAAATATTCTACATGTACTTCATTATACTGGATTTGTATTACCCTTATCAAAATATACTACACAGTACACACCATATGTCTAATACTATGTTTTTTATTAAGGTCAAAGTAATGTGTCTGGTAGCTTTTCAAGCAACCAACTGTCCTCAAATAAAGCCTTTGAAAGTCCTGATCAAACCTCCTTTTCTGGTGCGTACATGGTGCACTAAATGCATTTAAAGGGACATTTAGTTCTATTTTAGATCTAGTTCTAGCATTTCAGGAAAGTTTGATGAATTTTTCCAAAATATATTTACTGCAACAATTCTTACGTAAACAATTGTAGGGTAAATATTTCATTCATCACACCTAAGTTTACTTGTTGGGTGTTTTTCAATTATATACAAAAACCTTAAATAATGTTCACACACTGTTGTACAATCATAATTTACCGGTAGACCATACTATATTATAAAATAGGATTTAAATATGTGAGGCTCTTCCAGCTCAGACATCTCATAGTGTATTGTATGTTTCTTTGATGGATTAAAACATTAATTAAGCAACACCCCAAATTTTACAGTGTGTGGAAAAATAGATAACTTTATAGTGCATGTTGCATCATTTCATAACAACCCATGTTCTTTGTGAACTTCTGCAACTCTTTAGGTACTTACAGCTCAGCAACTTCAAGCTCAGTGTCAACATCTAGTTCAAGTGTGAGTGGTACACCTCAGCTGCCTGACAACAGCTGGCATTATCATTTTCAAATTCCTTGGAAGAAGATCCCATCTGAGATCTTCAGAAAACTTGAAACAAAGAAGCGGCCAAGAAAAAGCGAGAGACTTGAAATTATAAGACTGATAGTGAGTGAAATATTAACAGTATGTCCAACACCTATGAAGAAGCACGTCAGTGAAATTGCACGGAAGATGGCCATGGCATATCCTGGGGCATTCAAAGATGTCATTGAAGGAGAAGTTATAGGAAGTGGGTATGATTCAGTCATCAAACAGCTGATTAACAGAGTGGATAATGTGAGGAGAGGAAACGCAACATTTTCTTTGAAGAGACAAGCAGCTGGCAACAGTGAAGAAGAAGATACTTTGCGTAGAAAGAAGAGACTAGACAGCTACGGGTGTAAAAACTGGCAACCGGTGCAGCTACCAGCTAATGAAACGCCTGACACCCAGAAATCTGTACAGGAGGAAATTAAGAAAATGAACAAAGAAAGGTGCCATGACACCAACACTGTTGAGAATATGATGAGGGCCACCTTCTATACCCAGAGAAAAGACATCATTAACGGTGTTAACACCTCTGATTTGATGCACGAATGGCCATATTTATTTGAAACAGCTGGCATGATGACTCACTTTAAAGAGCTAACAGCAATAGACATCGATGACAAAGCTATAGCAAGCAAGTGTGCGCTGCTGGGTTTCTTCAGCTAGTTCTTAAGTACTTCAGCGAGAGAGGACCAGATGTTCCATAAAGTGGATCAGACAACCTTGCCCTCTGAAGTAGACTGTGCCAAACTTCCAAGTACACCCTGCATAATTGTGTGTGGTATGTTTGAATATTTTTAAAGGAAAACTATTTAATATTTGCGGGAATTTAAGTTTGTCACAGTGTTACTGATCTCTTCTTTTTCTTATGCATAACAACAGGAAGTTCCCCTTTGACTGCAGAGAACTTTGTTTTCTGTCGACCAAGTCATAGTTAACAGCCACATCACCATCTTCTGCGATGCTCTGAAGTTGATGTTTGCCTCATACTACTGCTTGAATATTTCATACCCAGGAGACCAAGGGGCAACGCTAGAGTTCGTGCAAAGGTAAAAACACACTCATACACTCACTCTCACACGCATCACATACACACACTCACACATGTCCTCACTCACTCTCACACACGCATCCTCACATACACTCATTCTCTCAAACACTTTTTCAACACACTCACTTCACAGACATCCTCACATACACTCACTCTCACAAACACTTTTTCAACACGCACTCTCACACAAGCATCCTTACATACACTCACTCTCACGTACACACACTCTCACATACACACTCTCACACACGCATCCTCACACTCTCACATACACATACACACTTGTCACACACGCCTCCTCAAACTCTCACATACACACACTCTCTCACACACACACACACACACACACACACATACACACACTCTCAAACGCATCCTCACACACACACTCACATACACAGTCACACACGCACTCTCACATACACACACTCTCACACACACATCCTCACATTCACACACTGTCACACACACATATACACACACACTGTCACACATGCATCCTCACTCACACACTCACATACACATTCTCTCAAGCGCATCCTCACACACGCTCTCACATACACACACTGTCACACACGCATCCTCACACTCACTCTCAGATACACACACTCTCACACACACATCCTCACATTCACACACTCACATACACTGTCACACACACGCATCCTCACACTCACTCTCACATACACACACTCACACACACATCCTCACATTCACACACTCACATACACACACTGTCACACACGCATCCTCACACAAACACACTCTCACATTCACACACTTTCAAACGCATCCTCACACACACTCACATACACACATTCACACACGCATCCTCACACTCACATACACGCATCCTCACATTCACACTCTCACATACACACACTCTCTCAAACACATCCTCACACACTCACATACACACACTCTCACACACATAGGTTTGTTTTTGTGAATTGTGGGGACATTCCATAGGCGTAATGGTTTTTTTACCATTTTTTTATACTGTACAAACTATGTGCTATTGCCCTACACCAACCCTACACCTAAACCTACCCCTCACAGGAAACTTTCTGCATTTTTACTTTCTCATAAAAACTCGCTCTGTATGATTTATAAGAGTTTTGAAAAATGGGGACATGGGGTAATGTCATCATTAGTCACCTTCTCCTTCTAATACCTATATCATACCCATGTCATTATACAAATTTGTGTCCTCATGTCACAAAAACGCATCCTCACACTCACATACACACACTCTCTCAAACGCATCCTCACACACACTCTCACATACACACTGTCACTCATTCATCCTCACACTCACACACTCTCACATACACACTCTCTCAAGCGCATCCTCACACACACACTCTCACATACACACACTGTCACACACGCATCCTCACATTCACACACTCACATACACAGACTGTCACACACGCATTCCTCACTCACACACTCTCAGACGCATCCTCACACTCACTCTCACATACACTCACACACGCATCCTCGCACAAACATCCTCACACTCACACACACACACATTCTCACACACACATCCTCACACTCACATTCACACACTCATCCTCACACAAACATCCTCACACGCTCACATACACTCACACACACATCCTCACACTCACATACACAGTCACACACACACTCTCACACGCATCCTCACACACACACATCCTCACACTCTCACATACACACACTCTCACACACGCATCCTCACACACACACATCCTCACACTCACACACTCTCACATACACACACATCCTCACACTCACAAACACACTCTCACACACGCATCCTCACACACGCATCCTCACTCTCACACACGCATCCTCACACACACATCCTCACACTCTCACATACACACACTCTCCACGTGACTAGATATTTACCATAATATCAGCAGTGTGTGTGTGTGTGGCATATAGCAGCTCAAACTGGAATAGAACAAAACACCAAACAATACATTTCTCTCATCCTCACACACACACACACACTCTCACACACACACACATCCTCACACACACACATCCTCACACTCTCACATACACACACTCTCACACAAGCATCCTCACACACACATCCTTACACTCACACACTCTCATATACATGTCTTTATAGCAAACGTCCACCACAAGCATGCCCTGTGCAAATTCTTATTATTCCGCTTTTATTTTTTATTTACTCACAGCATATGTTACAGTCCATGTTTTATTACTAAGGATTTTTTTCCATTCAACAGATGCTTTTTTAAGATAAACCCCGAGAAGGGATCGAAAGTGGAGAAGACCACATCGAGAAAGCAATCGGCAGTCAGTCCAAAGGTTCTTTCACTGATTAACAAGATTGCGGACTATGAATGGATGGAGTAAAAACTTTGCGTGTCAGATCCTACATTGCCTAGCAGAAATTTTTGGCAGTGTCACAGACTTAAAATACTTGCTGATAATTTGCTTTCATGGTTTAATTATTTGTTTTTTTCATGCCTCAACTGTTGTCAAATTAATTATTCTGTTCCCAGTTGGTTCCGTTTTAAGGACAATTGAATTATTAATTGTTATTTGTTTACCAAACTGCTATATTGTTGC